ACATTCAATTGTTTAACCGCTTTGACGTTGAGGTTGAACTGATATTTCTGTTTTGAAGTTGTTTGTTTATACGGTGGTCGGTTGTTGGGCAGTTGTATAGTTTGCTTATATAGTTTCGATATTTCTTTATTGAACATTTTATTAAAACCCGTCGTTTATTCATTGAGTGAAAGTAATGTTCGTTTATATGCGGCGAAATTGGTTAGTGTTAAGAAGACATTGGATGAGACACGAAATATATTATTCCAAATAGTGACGACTAAAAAGAAAAATCACCTGACACCAAACCGATTTACAAGCTATTATCGCCATTATACTAATGAGACTGTACTATGAATGTAGATCGGGTGACAAGGCCTCGCTCTGGTTAAATTGCAATGATGTGATAAATGCATTCCCCAAATAGCATTACTAATACGCAAAACCACCTATTAATTTCCATATGTATTTTTTATAGTGCGGTGGTGAATAGTTTTTTTTAGCTTATTTCTCTGTAGTTACTATATAGTGTTACATTATTTCTTTTGTCACTCGTTGTTATGAGTATCATTGTTATTACTATTGTTAATATTATCAGCACTGTCGTCATCGTCATTGTCATCATCTTCATCACTATTATCAACGCTATCATTATCTTATCAATATCACTTATGAGTACTGTTATCATTATTCTCACCTCTATTACTATAACCATTATCATTATCATTATTTTAGTCGTGCATTCCATCACTGTACACGGCATATCTGCACATTATACACATTCCCACGACTAAATAATTCCAGTACAACATATCCATTTTCATAATCACATAATTCCATACCTACATACATATTCATTTCCGTGTAGGCCTATATATATTTCTCAGAGGTAACGGCCGTAATCATTAATGTACCCGTAGTTTTTGTTAATACAGATGCAATTTCATGAATACGTAATTACTGTATACCCATCATTGCATATGTCCATGATTACATACTTATAGTGTGTCTCACATTACGAACATTTAGAATCAATAATTTATTCAAAGATATTTATTTTTTTCAGGTCCATGGATTCAGAAACTCGGATTACTTAGAGAGATGCATAGGATGAATGTATTTAAAAGAAACATTAAGGCTGGGGGTGAATAACTTTGGAGTACAAAAGACGTAAGTGATGTATTTCGATATTGTTTAAGAATTACATGAAGATATTTTGACAAAACTTTTTGTTCATTTGTCACAACGGTCTTTGTTCATGTATTCACAAATAACTTCATTGCAAAACGAATTTGTACTTTTTTATGGATCTTTGTTACATGCTAACCTTGCTTTCTCGGTAATCTTTTGCGTGGTTAATCTTCATCTATTATCGGATTTCCCAAACCTTCCAATATTGGAAAGAATCAACCTTTGTCGAAATAATTACGGGTTATTTAAGAAGAAGAGTAGGCACCGATTCGATAAGAATATGCATTTGCAACTGCTTGCATTTCACAAATAACAATGCCGAAATCGACAATCGTTTCCATCCCAAAATGAAACCGCACTTCCATTTCCTTTCAAAGAAAATGTATCTCGCGACGTCCATACAGAAAATAGCGATCTGAAAGGAAAACCGCTATTGATAAACAATATATCCACACAAATGGAACCATAAAGTGGGAAGCCGGCGTAAGCAATAAAGACCTTGCAAGGAAAGGGAAAAAAAACAACAATTCCGATGTCTGGTGAAAGAGTGTCGGAGATCCAAGAAAGATCCATCCGTATTCTAATGCGTTACAACTTCTCCCAAGAAAGCGGAGACGAAGGAGCCATATTTAGGATCTTGTTTGCGAAACTCCGATCACACGAGACAATCTGAAAGTTCAAGCCGGCGGCAATATCCTTGATCATAAACGGACCAAACACGGATTCCTTCTCCAGATGCTGCGTCGATCCTATCAAGGACAGATTAGTTTCCGCTTGAATCTCGGCGGGATGACAAGCGACTTCCCATTTTCTTTTAACTGGTTGTAAATAAGCGGCTTTCCGTTTTCTCGTAATGGGTGCAAATTGAAAGCGTCCTTCTGCATTCTGTCAGAGGTTCGGGATTTTAGTCTTGTTTATGTCTTCCTTTCATTTATTCTTTTCGGTTGTGTTGTGTTACTTGCTATTACTTTGGCATTCACGAGCCGAACTTTGGATTACCGATTCCTTAAACTCACAAAAAGCTGGCACCAATGACAACTTTTTTTACGATATTTTCGGCATTTGGTTGGGATGACGTCATCAAGGCCAGCTCATTTGTTTTCGGATTTTTCACCTGATTTTGTTCATATATATATATATATATACATATACATATATGTATTATCTTTCGAGAGAACACACCACTTGGTTCATTGAATGGCAATAAACATTTGAATAGTTTGTATTGTATCAGAAGTTTATTTCAATAATATCATCAATTAACAAGCATTTCAAAAACAAAAGCAGATTAAATCCAAAACCATAGATTAAAAACATTAATCTGAAATATATTACATTCATCAAAATACACTCACGTATCTCTCTGACGAGAAACCAAAGTTACACATATAAATGTACAGGAATTTGTATGTTTAGCGTGTGACTGTATAAATATTCGCTGTGTAGTGTGTGTACTTTAAAGGCCATGTGTGTACACCACGTGGAACATATGGGTGGGACATACGGTACAGTTTGTAGGGTTAAAGTACAGATGTTTGCAGTTCTGTTAAATGTCTTCTTCTCCTTCTTCTTCTTCTTCTTCTTCTTCTTTTCTTCTTCTACTTCTTCTTCTTCTTCTTCTTTTTCTTCTTTTTCTTCTTCTTCTTCTTCTACTTCTACTTCTACTTCTTCTTCTACTTCTTCTTCTTCTTTTCTTCTTCTTCTTCTACTTCTACTTCTTCTTCTTCTTTTTCTTCTTTTTCTTCTTCTTCTTTTTCTACTTCTACTTCTTCTTCTACTTCTTCTTCTTCTTCTTTTCTTCTTCTTCTTCTTCTTCTACTTCTACTTCTTCTTCTTCTTCTTCTACTTCTACTTCTTCTTCTTCTTCTTTTCTTCTTCTTTTCTTCTTCTTCTTTTCTTCTTCTTCTTCTTCTACTTCTTCTTTTTCTTCTTCTTCTTCTTCTTCTTCTTCCTCTTCTTTTATATACACATCTGTTGGTTCTCTAAACTAAATAAGGTTAATTTAAGGCTTAAAAGAAGCGACGTAGATTTCAAAACGCACGAGAGAAGATGAGGGAGGTGAGAGAGAGAGAAAAAGGAAAGAGTTTGTAAGGATTAATATTTTTAAAAATTGGTTTTAACAGTGATACGAACACTTTGTTAATATTAATAAAAGTATTGTTATAGCAGTAAAGGTAAAGGGTGGAAGTAACAATACCAAAATAATATTGCTAAGTAACTGTAATAACCGTGACAAAAAAAAAAGAAGAAAACGGTTTGTGGGAACAGTAACAGTCGTAGCGGTTACGTAGTGGAAACAGAAGCTGGAGTACTAGGCGATGTTTGTTTATACAGTTTTTTTTGATAAACAACTCCACCTTCACCTTCACCACCACCTCCACCTACATTACCACCTCCACTACCACCTCCACCAACCCCACCTCCACCACCTCCACCTCCACCAACTCAACCACCACCATCATATTCAGGACCTCCACAACCACTAATACCATTACCTGCACTACCACCATCACACTCATCATTATCACCCCCTTTATCATTCTATTCTTCCTCCTCTTTCACTGCTATTGCTATCACTATCGGAGGTTGTATCACCACAAACAACATCCCTGAATTCATTAATCTAGCTTCAATTCTTCACAATTCTCTGGAAGACAGAGACAGAAAACACGGATTATGATCACGTGGGGTTATCTGATTACTCGGTTAATTATCATGATGCGTTTTTATGTATGTGATTAATCTGTTGAAAATGTTGAAAATGAGGATGAAAAGGGCCTAAAAGGTTAAAAAAAAATGTTTGTAGACTAGCTGCTCTCTTGTGAATTTTCTAATAGCTTTGAAAGTAAACAAACATGCAATGTTTACGACCTATAACGAGGAATGTGCTCTTTGATCATCAGAATATTAGACCGAAGTGTCCGAGAGATCCTGCAAACGTTTCCGAAGATTTTTGGAAGAAATCAGGTTTTATTTCCGTATGTAAGCAAACGTTGCCTGGTTTGGGAATTTGCTCTTGCCTTTCATGTGATGTCATGAGATTAGGAGAGAGAAAAAAAACTCTATTAATTTTTAATTGATGTTACGAGGTAAACAAAAAGCGTTGCTTAGCCTTTGAAATTACGTTATAGGATAGATAAAATAAACGTTATTTAACCCTTTCATTGACGTTTTAAGACAAACAAAACCATTACTTTGCTTTTCAAACGACGTCGCGTGAAGAAGAAGAACAAAAACAAAAACTTGATTTACCTCTCCATCGACGCCGTAACCCAAACAAAGACATACCAAAAAACATCGCAAATGTCACCATAAGGTTAACAACACAAACACTTCTTTACATCACAAGAGTCAACAAAAAAAAGACGACCTCATTAAAGACAAACCCAAACATAACTAACGTAACTTCACTCTTCAAAGGACACCATAAAGACTTTATATCACATATCATTCCTCCTTGTGATGCAATGATGATATACTTCGTTCGATGCCGCTGCATTATGGCACCTTCGTCAGAGGGAGAGAGAGACAGAAATAAAGAATGATAGAGAAAGAGACAGAAAAGAGAGAGAGAAAGAGAGAGAGAGAAGATGAAGAAAGATAGATGACCAGAGAGAGAAAAGGAGAGAGGCAAAAGAGAAAGAGAGAAAGAGAGGGAATATGACACATCGGAAAGAAGAGAATGAAAGTGAGAGAAAGAGAGAGTAATAACTATTTCGACACCTCAGCTACAGAATGAAAGCGAAAGACAGACAGAGAGAAAGAAGAAGACAGAAGAGAGAAAGAGAAGAAAATAGGAGAAAAGAGAGAAAGATAATCAGTCTTCTTACCTTGTCATGACGTCACCAGAGGAAGGAAAATTAACCTTGCCTGCGCTCTGTCATGTCGCCAGGCTGTCACGTTCTGTTGGTAAGGAGTAGGAGTGTTAGTGATGAAAATATGTCCCGGTATGACAGTTCTCTTAGAAATAGTTTTATATCAAGTAATATGAGATTTTCAAGTTAAGACGGTATACTGAATGTATGAGAAAATATACCTAGCTCTTATATCCAAATAAATACTGTAGGTTTATGTTTATATAAGAAATTACAGCAACTCCAGCAGCAATATGTAAAGTTTAATTTAATTTATGCATAAATTCCGTAACCCTTGTTCGTGTGGCTGTTTGTTCGTACCCAGCGTCTACCTTAATTCCTGTTGGTTGTGTGTCTGTGTTTGCATGTATGCCTCGGTTAATCTTGGTCTGTAAACATCAAGAGTAGAAAGAGCAGTATGAACTCACTGTTTTTTTGTTTGTTTGTTTATTTATTTGTTTGTTTGTTTGTTCAGTTTCCCGAGAACTTCCATGTAGGTCTATTTGATGCGCTTTTGCAATTATTTTCAATTCTTAGTTCTAATGAGTTCAATTAAGATGAATATAAGACGCATTCAATTATTTCTCTCTCTCATTTTCTTCTGTTATTCCCTCCCTTCCTCTCTTTATTCTTACTGTGGCCTTAGTTACCCTTTCCCCGCCTCCTCCTCCAGCTCTGCCTCCCTCCCCCCCCCCCCCATCCTCTCTTGTATCATTCTCAATCATTCTCTCCCCCACCATGCTATCTCCCCCTTTCCCTCATCCTTTATCCTTCTCCGACACTCTCTTTCATCCTCCTCCTCCGCCTCCTCCTCTTCCCCTTTCTTCTCCTTCCTTTTCAATCACGTTAATCACCCCCCCCCCCATCCCCCCGTCTCCTCCTACTATTACTCCTACTTCTATTCCTCTTCCTCTTCTTCTTCTTCTTCTTCTTCTTCCTCCTCCTTCTCTGTCCCTCTCATCCTTCCTCCCTCTCTCCCTCTCTCCCTCCGTCCCTCCCTCCCTCACTCACTCACTCACTTATTCCTCTTCCTTCTCTTTCTCTTCCTCTTTCTCTTCCTCCTCTTCCTCCTTCTCTTCCATCTCCTCCCCCTCCCTCCTCTTTAACTAATCCCACTCAATCCTTCTTCCTCCACCTCCTCCCCTTCCCTATCCTCCGCCCCCCACCCCGCCCCCCTCCTTTCTAACAAGAGTTCCGAATCGATTAACACTCACGGACAACGGTGACCTCTGACCTCTGTGTGACCAATGAACCTTTTCCTTCTCTCTCCTCCCGCTTTCCCCCCTTTCCTTCTCTTCTGTTTCCTTCTCTTCTGTTCCCTTCTATTTTCTCCTCTCTCCTTCTTTTCTTTCCTCTTTCTTCTTCCTTGTTTCTGGCTTCTTTCTTTTTTTTCCCATCTTCTTCCACCTTCGTCTCTCTCTTCTCTCTCCCCGTTCTCTCCTCAACTTTCTTTCCCCCTTCTCCTCTCTCTCCGCCTTTCCTTCTTTGCTCCTCTTAATCTCTTCCCTTTCTCTCTCTCTATCTATCTATCTATTTTTCTCTCTTTCTATCTATTTTTCTATCTTTCTTTCTCTCTCTCTCTCTCCTCTCTCTCTCTCTCTCTCTCTCTCTCTCTCTCTCTCTCTCTCTCTCTCTCTCTCTCTCTCTCTCTCTCCCTCTTTCTCGCTCTCTCTCCCTCTTTCTCGCTCTCTCTCTCCCTCTTTCTCGCTCTCTCTCTACCCCCCCCTCTATTCATTTCACCCACCACCCCTCATCCTCCTCCCTCTCCCCCTTTCCCACCTCCTCCTCCCCTTTCCCCTCCCTCTCCCTCTCCCTTCAACCTCCCTCCCCCCCCCTCTTCTCCCGCCTATTAGTTGTGACGAATTAATCCCAGGCGCTTAATCTGACCGATTAATCCCGACAATGTTGGACCGTGACATGAGCAGCTAGTCGGGGGGGGGGGGGGGGGGGGGGGCTAGACAGGGGGGGAGAGCCAGTGGTCTGTGTAACAAGGTTTTGGTCCGGCCGTTTTGTCCCGTACTATCGAAGGAAGAGGAAAATATGTTCGGGGAATAATTTTGAAAGAAATGGAAAAGGGAAGAAGGGAAGGAAAGGGTAATTGGGTAATATTTTGAAAGGAATAGATAGAAAAAAAGAAAGAAAGATGAGATGATGAAAAAAAAGAAAGAAAAAAAGAATAGAATAGAAGAGGGGGAGCCAGTGTTTTTTATAACAAGGTTTTGCCCCGACAGATACTAGGGAATGAAGAGGAAAATATAATCGGCGAACATTTCGAAAAAAAATGGAAAGAGAAAAAGAAAGAATATAAAAGGATGTAAAAAGAGATAATTATAGTGGTTGAAAAAAATGGGGGAGCCAGTGGTCCGTATATTAGGGCAGGGAGAGGAAAATAAAAAAAGGAAACAGAATACAGAAAATATTGGGAGATATAAAAGAATGATAATAACAATAATAATAATAATGATAATAATAATAATAATAATGATAATAATAATAAATGATAATAATAATGATAATAATAATAATAATGATAATAATAATAAATGATAATAATAATGATAATGATAATAATGATAATAATAATAATGATAATAATAATGATAATAACAATAACAATAGTAAAATACCAAGAAGATAAAATAGATATGTAAAACATGACGATAACAATAAAACAAGAAAATGGTCCGTGTAAGGGGGGGGTGAAGAAAGAAAGAAAGATGGGAAAAATAATAGTCTTGATAAGAAAAAAAAAGATAAGAGAAGAGAGGGAAATAACATACTGATAAAAAAGGGAAAGGCAGTGATCTGTGTACTCGGGAAGGGAGATAAAAATATAGTCAGGAAAAAAATTATATTGAAAGAAAGGTTAGAATATGGGAAGCTGTAAATAAATGACAATGATAGTTATTTAAGAAAAATAGTCGAGGAGGAGAGAGAGAAACAGATATGACGAAAAGAGCGAGGAGATATATAAATTAAAAAGAAAAAAAAAAGAAAAGGAGAGGGAAAGATGTAAAACAAAAGAGAAAAGGAAAAACAGACACGATAAAGACACACACACACACACACACACACACACACACACACACACACACACACACACACACACACACACACACACACACACATATATATTAACAAGAGATACGAGCTACGAAATCAATAAAGATAGGAGCTCAGTCAGTACGTATAACAGTATCATAAGCTAAAGAAAAAGACGTTCTTTTATTCCATTTCATTTCAACCAATTACATCCGGACTTTATACAACGGAGCAGCAGAATAGCGGGTCTGTGACATGTTGCATACACGTGGGAGTTGTTTTGGTAATGGTCCTGTCCAGCCGTTCTCGGATTCAAGTGCGTGCAGACCTGAGTTCGTTCGCGTAGTTATTCCGGATTTATGTGGATATGTTATGGTTGTCGTCATTATCCCTGTTATGCCTTCTGTTTTATTGTTTTCCTTGTGAGAGGATGGAATTTAAGAGACATGAATGGAGAAAATACGAAAAATGACCGTTGATGGTAGGAAAGAATAAAAAAAAAGAAGAAAAGAATGGGGGAGTCGTTTGGATTAATGGCCTGTTCTGCCGTCCTCGGATTCATCTCGTCGTTCTCATAACCCTTCCGGATTCTTGCGGATCAGGAAATTTTCATTAATTCGAGCTCGCTATGGGTAATTATCGAAGCGTATGCTTTTGTTTATTCATTTACTCAATATATTTTATAATTTACTCGTGTATTTATTTTCCTACTTATGAGAGAAGGGATAAAAGGAAGAGAGAGAAGAAAAGGACGTATGAAGGTTAAAGGAAAGACAGGAGGGAATGAAGGAGACGCGGAATTCGAGAGAGAAAGACGCTCGAGGGAAATGTTGGTAACTGTCCTGTCCAGGCTTTCTCGGATTCACGACTTCAATCCTGACCTCGTTCGCGTAATCAATATGTGTGTGTGTGTGTGTGTGTGTGTGTATGTGTGTGTGTGTGTGTGTGTAAATATATATATACACACACATGCATACATGTAAGGGGTATGTATGTATATAAATGAAATGTACACACACACACACACACACACACACACACACACACACATACACACACACACACACACACACACACACACACACACACACACACACACATATATATACATATATATATATATATATATATATATATATATATATATATATATATGTATATATATATATATATATATATATATATATATATATATATATATGCAGAAATAAAAGAGAAAGAAAATAGAAGCGAAGAGAAGAAAGGCAGTATGAAGGAATGTAATTGCCGCTCCCTGCCGTCCTCGGGCTCAAGCGCGGTCAGTCCCGGTATCGTTCGTGTAGTCAATCCGGATTCACGCGGATCTGGAGATTTTTATCCCCTGCGTCCGTTAGGATTGCAGTTATGATTATTTCTGGGTTCGAGCATAATGTGGTCTATTCATTCTGACTTATTTAATCATTTATTCGTTTAATTACTTGTTTGTTTACGGAAGCAGGGGGTCTAGAAAAAGAAAGAGGAAAAGGAAAGTAGGAAAGAAGAAGAAAAGAACGAGTGATGTAATAACAGTTATGTTAAAAAAAAGAAAATGAGAAAAAAAAAACAGGAGGGACGTCGAAAAGGTAAAAAAAAAAGGTAAGTAGGTAATTATGTAACTCCTCTCAACACAAACACAAAAAAAAAACTTTAATTATACACGGAGATAAAAATGTAGTTATGATTTCTGGAAACGAAGTATTCTGATTAATTGGAATCTTGGCTCGAATCAGCAATTAATAAGGGTTGCATTATTACATTCACCGGAAATGAAAAACATGGATGCTGGTTCTCTCTACAAGTGACATTTTTTTTTTTTTTTTTGCCGGATTTTGATTGGGTATTTGAGATTAGTTCCTTCTTGATTGCCATTTTTTAAGTAAAACGAACGTGCCTATTTGCTACACATTCTATATTCAGTTTACATGTAAGCTATATATAAACACACACATACCCACATACCCACACGCACACGCGCACACACGCACACAC